AAATTGTGAATTTTTGTTTTTGGTGTAGATGAAGTTTTTTTATATAATCATATGTAATATATATACCATAGTCATGTGTAGTCAATTGCAATACAGTAGAGTGAGGAAAATATTGAAACAAAATTAAAAATTAAAAATTAAAAAAAATTAAAAAAATTAAAAAATTAAAAAAATTAAAAAATTAAAAAAATTAAAAATTTTAAAAAATTAAAAAAATTAAAAATTACAAAAATTAAACAATTTTAAAAAATTAAAAAAATTAAAAAATTAAAAATACAACAGAGGTATATATAAAAAATAATAATAAAATAAACATTTATAATTTTTTATTAAAAACATCTGATAATATGATAAATGCAGGTCTAAATGTTAATTGCAGTTGATCATAATGCTGAATGCAGTTAGTAAAAATACTGAATGCAGTTGGGCAAAAAATAGATATAAGGGCACAATAGTACTTTTGCCTCCCCAGGGGGTTATCTCAAAGGAACAGGGGGTTATCTCAAAGGAAGAATTTTAGGGGTGGACCTATCCCTATATATTTTTCATATTAAGGGTGTATATCAAATGGACCCAAATAAAAAATATTTAAATTTTTGTATTTGAAATGGTATAGTTTTCTTACCAATCCAACGCAAACGCCCCCGATTTTTTTAGAATAATTTATAGAAAGAAGTGAAAATAAAGAATATTTAACTTTTTGTATTTAATTGAAATGGTATAATTTTCTTACCGTGATATTTTATATTGTATTGATAAATATAAAATTTATAAATTTACATGAGAGTATATTGAGAAAAAATAATTAGAAGGGTAAAAACTCATATTTAAAAAAGATGTTAACAAATTTGTTTTTAAGAACTTGGGGGGCCACAACCCCTTCTTGCATATGTTGGTTCCGCCACTGGATTTACATGACAACATTTCTTTTCAACACAGTATTAGAGTCAGGACAAATGAAAAGGTCATGAGTTCGAATCTCACTGTCGCCCATTTCAAATATTTCAAGTGCATGACTTCAAATATAATTTATAGGGCGAATGGCAAAAATGCCCATCACAAGGGACTTAAATGCCACAAAAAAAAACAGTCTCTCAAATAAACTTATCTCCATGTCTTTAGTCTAAAATACCCTCCATAATATAATTCTTATCAATTCCATCAATTATGCTCTAACTTCCTTAATATTACACATTGATTAATTGATGAAATTGAGCTAAATTGAGGTGTAAATCATAAAATTGGAGTTGAATTGGGGGTAATTTTGGTATATATAAAATGATTTTCCTTATTTGTAAATAAGTTTGAATGAGCTGGATTTATTTGAAAGCAATGTTGTAAGAACCGGACCGGACCGGCCGGTCGGACCGGTCCGACCGCGACCCACAAGAAAAACGATCCGATCTGATGCTCAAAACCGGAACATTCAAGAACCCGGTCAAAATATCAAAAACCCGGTTCGACCGGCCAAAATCGGCGAACCCGAAAACCGGTTAATGACCCCGGTTTTCATCTAAAACAGTTTGTTGGTGGCTGTTAGCGGCGAGATATTGGCGGAATTCACCGGAGGTGGCCGGATCTGGGTGTAATAGACTGGCGGTGACCGGAATTTGAAGGCTCTGGTCGTGGGTGACTGGAATAGTTTGTTTGGTGATGGATATGGAGTGAGAAGAACGAAGAAGATAGAAAATAAGAAATAGAGAAGACAAGAAAAAAGAAAAAAAAAATAAAAAGAGAGAGGAGGTATGCGTGTGTGATAAGAAGAAAAGGTGGGGGTGAGGAATAATAAATAAAATAGTTTATATATATATAAAAAAAAGAGGAAAGATGGTGTGAAATATTGAAAAAATATACTGAAAATATGAATTTAACATATTAAAACTAATAAAATAATTAAAATTTTCAAAAAAAAAAAAAAACCCGGGTCGAACCCTGTTGAATCGGTCCAACCGTGACCCGAATGCCAGTCCGGTTTTGTGTCCGGTCCGGTTCTGATATCATTGTTTGAAAGACAAAAAAATTGGATGTCTCTCTTTTAATAAGGGGCAAATGAGGAGGCGTATTGGAGATATTAATCATTAACTTAATTATTCTGAATAAAATAGTTAAGAATATTTTAACATAAGTAAATAGTAAATAATCTTAAGTTGGGCATTCCAAATGAAATAGCAATACATAATTTGAGAGAATTTAATGAATTTATTAATAAATAAAATACTATATACTAACAGAATAAAATGAAAAAAAAAAAAACACTCAGCTTTAGGATTACTGTTCAGCTTCAGATCCAAGGCAGTATATATACTCTTCATCGTTCGTCACAAGATTACAAATATTAACCTCTATTTTAATCCGTCACCCTCCTCTCTTCAGTATTTCTTCTTCTTTTTTTTTTTTTTTTGTATAATAACATTCAATTTTTTACACTAGTAATTTATAAACAAGTTAATTCAGAAGGTGGCTACTTCATTCTTTTTCTACACGCAAGGTTGATGTTTAGGCGTAGTAGCTGAAGAAAATGTGTTGCGTTGCGTAGGAGTTGTAAATGAATGAGTTAAATCGAGCCAAAAGCATCATTGTTCAAATTTGTTTGAATATTTATCGAGCTTATAAAATTGTTTTTGAATGTGGAATTGGTGCAATAAGCAATTGAGTCGATCAATTTATCTCAAATAAGCTTTATTCGAGCCAATATACACGAATAGCTTACCGAATGAGAGTATGTGTTCGATCAAACTTAGGTCGCTATGTTAGCAAATCGAGTTCAAACGAACTTTTACCAAACGATCTCGAATCGAGTATGGAGTAGTTTGATTTGATTTTCAGCCGTAATTGTGTGCCAACAAGAAATTCAAATCCACACTCCTCAATTTTAGTTGTTTTTTGAGCAATTGTGGTGCATTTCAAATGACATTGATGATGCTAAAGTTAGATCACCTTAAGTATTTGAGGTAGGATGAGCTAGGAGAGCAAAGTGGATCACCGGGTCACGAGCTAAATGGTCCTGAGATACCTACGAGTAGAGAATACATGAACTGGGCCGGAGGTTGATCCGGCGGAAATCCCTCTGACGCTCAAGTCAGACGTCCGGATAGTAAAATTAGTTGAGAGAATACAAATTGTAGTATTGCTTAGATAATAGGGCATACCTTAACAAATGAGTTCAAACATTTATCTATACCTCCTCGTTGATTGGGCTGGAGTTGGTTAATTGAGATTGTTGGGCTCAAACCTTATCTGAAGATGATTGGGCTTTCGTTGTAGTGGGCTTCAAACTTGAGCTCGTGACTTAATAGGTTAAGAAATTGTATGTCCATTGGGTTGGCCCAATTGAACATATCAGACACCAAATTAGAATCATTTCAAAACCATTCTTTAGATCTCTTCCCAACCAAATCCTTCCATCCAAATGGAGCCTACTTTTGTCAATAAGAACTTATAGGTTAAAAAAAAGTGGTATTTATATGTTTAACCTATGTTGCACGGACACAGCTCGGACATCCGTGTCGGGCCGTATCGTAATTTTGCTAAAAGTAGAACATCTGTGTCAGGCAGTGTCCGCAATTATAAAAAAAGTTGAGACACGGCTCTTATGTGTTAAGAGAGAGCCCCGATAAAAAAATACGCATTTTCTTTTCTTTGTAATACATATTTCCTCTGTTTTCTTTGAGTGTCCACCCAAAAGTCCAAAACTCTAGTTGTGATGGCGACCAAGAACACGAGCAACAAAGGCGAGTGGTTCTCTTATGCGATTTGGCGACTTATAAATATATTTTTACAATTTATAAATGTACACATATATTTTTATAATATAATTTATAAATATACCCCTATATTTTTTATATTTACGCGTATTCCCGCGTATCCGTATCCTAGTTTTTTAGAAATATCGTATCACTGTGTCCGTATCCGCATATCGCCATGTTCGCATATCCATGTCCGTGCAGCATAGTGTTTAACTCTTAGGGTGCATTTGGATGGAGGAATTTCAAATGCACAATAACAAATCACTTGCACTTGTTTTTTTGGAGCAATTATGGTGGATTTTAAATAACGCCGAATTGGAGTAATTTCAATCCCTTTCGCAAATCAAATATATTCATCCGAAAGTTAGGCAATACATCAACTAAGTGATGAATGTTCTTCCAGAAATAGGACTACGATCCAAAAATATATTAAGCTTTATATTTGTTATGAAATATGTTGTCTTTTATATTTTCTATACACAAACTTTTTTTTTTTTAATTTTTGTACACGGTTTTTTTGGGTTTAAAGATGTCTTTTCATATTCAAGTTAGAGCGGTTTTATAAATGCTACATCCAGTGAAATACATGGGATGATCTTAAACCATTAATTTACATATAATAACACAGACATTCATATGTGTGTGTACGCTTAGAGTGTGATTACTTAATCTATTATTCAAAATAATCTAATGTATTACACCACATACATCGTCTCATAGAATAAGATGAGCCATGAAGATATTTGTATTCCAAGTCATTTTAGAAACAAGAGCCATATTGAAGAAGTCTTTCATTCTTCGATAACCAAGACCATCTTATTATTTAAACAAGCAAATCGAATCCCAACAAACTTGAGCATACGAAAATTTCCATTTAATTTACATTTTTACACGTATGCCTCGTTTGTTTGCTACTATTAGCTAAGATTAACTAAATAATAAGAGCCAGTAAAATGTTTGGTTGGTGAAACAGTTTCAACATTACTCAATTCCGTTACTAAAGTATAAATCCACTATTAAATGTTGTTATTTTATGAAATTAATAACACCACTATTATATTTTTTTCTTGACTAATCAATTTTTAGGCCATTGTCACTTGTACAACTTTGTGATATGTGCTATCTATAATATACATGTTGGCCTGCCTAACATTTGTTAAATTAGCAACCAGCTGTAAGCTAATTAATCATCACACATTCACACTAATTTGGTCAACACTCAACACCAAATTTCTATGAGGAAATTTTTGATTGGTCGATTTTGCCCTTTGACCATGTGAATAATTCACACAAGAGGATTTCCTTCCCCCACAACCGGACAAACAGGATCGTGATTTTCTTCAACTTTCCTAGTAGATACCCCCACCCTAAAATATGCCCTTCCACATAAAAATCTATCAAACATCCCCACTACCGTGAAAATCGAATTGATCGAATCATAATAAAACTTTCGATTTTCTTTTTCGGAACTAGAAAACTAATTTATATTTTGTTCGAAATCGAAATCGAAACCGAAAGAGAAAATCGGACAAATAGGAAACTTAAATCTAAAAGAATCTAAAAACAAGTTTCCGAATCGGAAATTTGAGAATCACATTCACAAGAGGCGGAATTTGGAATTTCATTTTTTTTTTTATTAATCTATAATGTAAACAAATAATAATATAGTTATAATAAGTGTAATTTTCGAAAAACCAAAAATTGAAACTTTCCAAAATTAAATTCGAATCAGAAATCAGAATCTAGTATGTAATCCAACAAAGTTCGGAAAAATCGTAGACTAAATCTTTCGGAATTCGGAATAACTTTTTGTATTTTTATTCAAAATCGAGAATATATATATCGGAAGGACGAAATCGGAAATTGAGTTCCGATTTCCGGACGGGGCCCACCCCCACCCCCACACCCCACCAGGGTGGGCTGGTGAGGTGGCGGTTCACCTTCCATTCTATATTAAAGCCCCCACTATTTACAATACTGCCAAAAAATGACAAATCTCTCGGCATAAAATAAATTTCCATACATATATAGATACAGACAATCCTCATGCAGTCTTCAACTCTTTATCCGTGATCCTCTTCATACCCACTTTCTTCTTCCTTAATCCTTTTTTTCTTATTACACAGGTCTCGTGCACGTGTATATATACATCTACTATATGTATATATATATTTTGAAGGATATATATTTCGATGATGGAAGGTGAGAACCCATTACTCACCGCCGTGAAATCAAGCCTCACAAGACCTTCATGGGCATTCCTACTGCTCATCTTCGCCGGCGTCGCCGTTTTCAGCCTCCAATTCACCGGAAACACGGCGCCGCCTCCGTTCGGGTCCATCTCGAATCGGGCCGGGCATACGGGTTCGGGCGGCCCGACTACCTGCTCCGGGCTTTTCGAGGCGCCGCCGCCGCGGAGGGTGGTGAAATCGATCGAGGAATTCGGTGGGGTTGGGGACGGGACGACTTCCAATACGGCGGCGTTTAAGAGGGCGGTGGAGTATATGGCGAAATTCAGGGGCGGAGGCGGCGGCGCTCAGCTGAACGTCCCCCGTGGGCGGTGGCTCACGGGAAGCTTCAATCTCACCAGCGATTTCACGCTGTTTCTTGATGATGGCGCTCTTATCTTGGGATCTCAGGTGCCTAATATTTTATTACATTTATTTATTATTATTATTATTAAATAATCATATAAAAGAAAATTGAAATTTTTGTACCCCATAACACATTGATTGATTCAAAAAGAGGAATTCTTTAATTTGGGTTTTTTAACAGTTTAGTTTTGATTCCCAATTTCCTTGCACGTTATTTCGCCATGTTCTATGCAGAATTATTATTCACTCAACAATTATCATTATTATTTTATTTATTTATTTACTTTTTGTTATGTCAAGAACAGAGTTTAATTTTTATGTAATGCTGAAAATTTTGTATTTCTTGGTTTATTTTAATTGGAGTAATATTTCGATAGTAGGAACCGGAGGAATGGCCGATAATCGAGCCGTTGCCTTCGTACGGAAGAGGGAGAGAGAGGGAAGGAGGGAGACACATTAGCCTAATTCATGGAAATTCTCTTACCAATGTAGTTATTACAGGTACACTTATTCTTCGAAATATATTGCGAATTTAAACTTTTGTTTTTTTAAGATTGTATTGCTGGATAGACTAATTAAGGTGGTTGGTGTCGCAATGCAATTATTGGTATCGATCTATTTATATAAGTTTCCGTCTACCGACTGTATTTTAAGTATCATTATTAGGTGTAAACAGCTATAGATTTTCCCATTTAGTAACTAAAGAAACAATCTGTCGATACCGTGTGATCAAGAAAGTCTCGTAAACTAAGAAAATTTAGTTGGCGAATTCGGTTTTTTTTTTTTTTTTTTTCTAATTCTTTCCAATATTTAAATTTAATAATGTGCAGGTAATAATGGCACGATTGACGGTCAAGGGAAGATGTGGTGGGATCTTTGGTGGAATAAGACACTAATTCACACGAGAGGCCACCTCGTCGAACTTATTAATTCACACAACGTTCTAATCTCAAACCTCACTTTCCGTAATTCCCCGTTTTGGACCGTTCATCCTGTTTACTGCAGGTAGGTTTGTTTTAATCCCGTAATCCCGTCTCTGCACAAGAATTTTGTTTTTTGTCTAAAAAATATTGTCGTCTTAATACGGAGAGATTAAAGTATTGCATTCTCTTGTTGAAAAGTATATTCCGAGTCCTACATGTTTGTCACTAATGATCATTACTGGGCCATATCGGTAGATTTAATCGAAACTATAATAGCACCAACATAAATAAATAATGGCAACAGTGTTGTCCTTAGTGTTGGACAATTAGCTAAAGCAGATCGAAAAGAATCAAAAAGCAATCTTGTGACATCAAGTTGTCGCATATTCGCCCCCACTATTTGAGATCAATTTAAAGAAGTCGATTTTTAGTATTTTATCAACATAAATTAGTTTTATTAGTTTGCAGAATCCCTACGAATAAATTATAAAGATTCAATGATACGGATCTCAAATGGGGAAACCATTTGAAGTTTTAGTTGAAAGTTAGGTTCCTTTTGTCGCTCGAATATACAAAATTCGAAAAGGAGAAGAAAGATCGACGGAAAATTTGTGAAGAGAAATAAAGTAGAAACATATTCTCTTCTTACTACTTTTGCTTCCTCGGAATGTAAAAACTGAAAAAGTAAAATAGTTGTTTTTGTCTCGACATTTTCCCTAATCGATTTTTGTGCTTTTTTTTTTTTCTCCAGCAATGTTGTGATCAAAGACATGACAATATTGGCTCCTCTAAATGCCCCGAATACCGATGGCATAGACCCAGGTACTAAAATTCCGATCCATCATCACTTATTTTAAATTGAATGGAAAGAAACAAAATTCGGGGTTTTTTTAGTAATTATTGATACTCGAGGGTTTTCTTGGGTAATGAGTCATATTTTATTTTTATTTAACTTAATTGCTTTATAGACCTTACACGTTTTTCTGTTACGAAATTTGGTCAACCAGTAGTCAGAGGGTTTTTTTTTGGTAATTATGAATGTCTGAGGGTTTTTTCGTAATTTGACCTCAGATTCGAGCACAAACATATGCATTGAAGATTGTTACATTGAGAGTGGCGACGATCTAGTGGCAATCAAGAGCGGGTGGGACCAATACGGAATAACAATGTCCAAACCGAGCGCAAACATTACCGTGAGACGAGTTTCGGGCACAACCCCAACGTGTTCGGGAATTGGGATCGGAAGTGAAATGTCCGGTGGGATTAAAAACGTCCTAATTGAGGATTTGTACGTTCGAGATTCGGCGAGTGGGGTCCGCATCAAGACCGATAGAGGAAGAGGAGGGTACATAACGAATATAACCATACGTAATATTATGATGGAGAGAGTCAAAGTGCCGATTAGGTTTAGCAGAGGAGCCGATGACCACCCGGACGAGAAATGGGATGTGAAAGCACTTCCAAAAGTGAGAGGGATATTTATAAGTAACGTGGTTAGTTTGGAATCGAGGAAGGGTCCGTTGTTGGAGGGGGTGGAAGGGGCGATTTTTGAGGATATTTGCATGAAAAACGTTAGTTTATTCGGATTAGGGTTGTCTGCGATGAGGTGGCATTGTGAGTTTGTGTCGGGTTTTAGTGACGATGTCTCGCCTATGCCTTGTTTGGAGTTGCGGAAAAACGGGTCTTCTTCTTCGTGTTCGTTTCCGTGACTTCTTTTTTTTTTTTTTTTTTTTTTTTAAGATTTGTTAATTATTTAGAAGGTGTCCATAATTATTTGTATTTATTGATTGGATAGAAGAAGAATCTTTGGATTTTGCAACATAATTTACACAAAAAATTGCTGTTTTTTCACTTGATGCATTGCTCCTTGCTGTTTTATTTTGACATACAATCTGTGCCATGTGATGCAGTTGGCTGAAACAAACAGCCTCATTAGTCATTACAATATGATTATTTTAAGAATTAAACAGATGTGCAATCTCCCATAATTTGAATAATTTAAAATTATTTTGAAGGGCAAATTACGGCCACCCCTCAGATAATATCAAATTACCAAAACCGCAATCATGTTTGAATAATTACACCTATCCCCTCAATTGTGTATTTTTTTATGAAAAATATCCGATTTATAGGAGTGGACGTGTAAGATAATCCATAGTTGAAGGGGACAGTTGTAACTATCCAAACATGAGGGGGGGTTTCGTAATTTGACTTACCTGAGGGAGCGGCCGTAATTTGCCTCATTTTGAACCAAGTAACTAATTAAGTGGCATGTTCTCCCATGTACTAACTTCACTATGTACATGATATAATATACTTAAACTCCAATAGCAAAATATTTTAGAAAGCATTAAGAAAAAACAACAGGGGCAAAATAGGTACATGAGAAAACTTCAAAAGAAAATGAATTTCTTGAACTCGAAAATAGATACTTGTTTGTTTTTTACAGATTTCACCATTTCCAGAAAACATTTGAACCGCACTTGTACTTGTCCTTCCCTTCGCACTCCAAACTCAAATCATCAGAAATAAATGGCACTTTCTGCAAATTAATTAAAATAATCATAGTAATTAATAATAATAATATAATTAGCTAAAATAAATAAATGTTGATTTAGAAAAGAAGAAGAGGAGGGAACCTTAAGCTTGGCAAGATCTTGGCAGCCAGTGAAGTTCTCGGGGAACTTGCATGTACCGAACTGAACTGTGTATGCACGCGCAAAGTTTGCGCCGCTAGTCGCCAGCCTCTTCTTGTCGTTCAATTCCTGCATGCCGCCACAAAACGTTTCTTCACCAATCTTATATATATACACAACTTCTCAATCATATCACGGCATTTTTTTTTTAAATTAATCGTTCAATCGTTATTCATTTTACGGTTATCGTGCATGATTTTGATTGATGCTACAATAAAAATAGCGACTCTTGCTCAAAATATAAATAAACATTACTTCATTTTCAAATGGTATTACTTCATTTTTAAGCTGCTCAGAATATAGACAAACATTACTTCATTTTTAAACGGCTTTGCTCAGAATATAAACAAGCATTACTTTGTTTTCAAATTATTCTTCCATAATACATCAACTTCTGAAACAAACCAACTAAGACTTTTAGTCTAGTCGCACTAGAAGACTCTCTCATAGTCACTGGCGGAGCCAGGAATTCGTGAACTTAATATTTACGGGGTTTGTCCCCGAGATTTTTTTTTGATTCATTCATATAAAGTAGCGCAAAATAATTAAAATTTTATAAACTTTAACTAAGAACACATAATTTTTTTGATGGGTGGGCTAAACTAAATTACTTTGATGTGTTAATTATATTTAGTAGAATTTTTTAGAAATCGAAAGTGGACTGGAGCCCCACTTGACAAAGGTTGGCTCCGCCACTGCTCATAGTGGTATTTGGTGAGAGGTAGGTTCGAATCCCGATGTGTGTGTGTGTTTTAAGACCAAGTTATAAGGCCAAACATACCCTTAAACATTGGTATTAATTAATAATAAGAGAATGAAATTGTACGTGCATGAATGAATGAAACAAACCTTGTTAGCCTTGCTCTTCTCCAAATATTCATCAATAACGCCGGCGTTGGCGGCGGAGGAGGAGGTGGAGACAGCGGCGGTGAAAAGGGCGGCACCGAGGCCAAAAAGAGCGGCCCTTCTTCCCGATTCGTTAGAGTCGGAAAGTCTAGCCTTTTGGGATCTGATCACAGGCAATTTCTGAGCCGATGCAATCGGAGTTGCCATAGAAGGTAAGGAACTGACCTTTGAGGTGAGTTCAGAGCCAGATATGGCATAGTTGCATGCCAATACACTAGAATTCATGGCTGCCATTTTCTTTTTCTTTTTTTTCTATTGGTCTTTTTTTTATATAAAAGATTTAGTGCAATTTTGATAGATGTAAGGTTTTTTGATGAAGGCAAATATTTTGGTTTATGAGAGGAAAAAGTGTGATGCGAAGGGATTTGGGATAGTGAGAGAAATTGAGAGTGTGGTGGGAGTGTGGATAAGGTGAGATTGCATCAAAATCCTATTGGCAAATTACACAATTTTTGGTCCCAATTTACGTGGTGGAATTCGAGTCTTAGGGACCCATTTCGTAATCCAACTGTGGATATTTATTTCCACTGTTAGGGGGCACATGATTACATTCAATTTTGATATTTTGTGCCTTTCAAGAAAACAAACTTTTAAACCAATCATAATTTGAAAATAGGGCAAATTATCACATATCAGGTAGGGTCAAATTACGAAAAAAAAACATCTCTTCTTTGCATAATTACAAGCAACCACCTCACTATGAAAAAATTCCTCCGGTTGATCAATTTAGGGGTGTTTATTCAGTAAAATTGTACATAAACTGCGGGGTACGCCAAAATTTCATATCATTAAGCGTTTAGTTCGATAAATAACCGAATTATCAAAATTTTATTAAATATACTTAAAATTTTGATTTTTTAAAATTAATTTTAGTTATATATATATATATATATATATATATATATATATATATATATATATATATATATATATATATATATATATAATCTGAATACAACACCGAATTAATGGTTCTGTAATCGGCATGTACGAATTTGCGTTCGGTTCGATTCGATCGGTTTACCGGCCGAAGAAACACCCCTATGTAAATTTGACATCGTAATAGTGGACGTGCAAGACAATATATAGTTGATGGGGGTGGTTGTAGTTATGTAAACAAGAGAGATCTTTTTTGTAATTATACCTTACCTCAGGGATGGCCGTAATTTAAACCATTGAAAATATGAGGGAGGAAGAAAGAATTTTCAAAAAATTAGTAATTTGTCGATCCATTTATTTGGCATTCGAGGCTTAATCCCACTTTGCACCCTTCAAATATAGCATTTTGGCATTTTGCACCCTCAAAAAAAATTAATAGCACTTTGAACCCTTAAAATACAATAAACCATTCATAATGCACCCCACGTAGATTTTTAAAGCTAATGAAGAGAATTTAATATTTTCAGTGGTTTTTTTTTAGGATGCCAATGTCGAATATTTTTTTTATATTCATAAGTTGTTTTGAAACTACAATGTGCAAAAATAAAATACATCTTATCAATATATTTAATTTTCTTTTTGTCGCCAAAAAATATTTTACAAAAATCAAAGGGGAAGCTACAAATAAATCCCTAATCCAAAACTCAAAACACAGATCAGTCCCTAGGTAGTTTCTCCAAGCAAATCAGTCCCTATTCACGCGTCTGACATGCAGATCAGTCCCTAGGTAGGTCTCCATCTTTTTATGTACTGCTGAAATGCATTTCTCTATGGTTGTTAATTATTGTGATACATAGTATAAAATATGGCACGTAATATAGTATCATGCTAATATAAATATGGTATGGACGTATGGTACTTACAGTACGTAATCGTTATTCGTATAGTATGCGTGATAGGTAAATTTGGTACTGTTGGTGGGAAAACACAGTATCATATAATGGGGAAGATAGTACGTAATCTTCATCTGAATAGTATGCGTGAAAGGTAAATTTGGTACTGTTGGTGGGAAAACATAGTATAATATAATAGGAAGACAGTACGTAACCATTATTCGGATAGTATGGGTGATAGGTAAACTTGGTACTATTTGTGGGAAAACTTAGTATTATATAATGGAGAAGATAGTATGGAACCAGTGCATTGTTATGATATTTTCATGTACATTGTTATTTGGATTCCACTCTATAGTAATCCATTTTTTAATTTTTTTTAAACCAAAAGCGGCGATCAATCGATGGAAATCGAGGGTAATCCGCTTGGAAATTCAATTGATGCATGGAGACATTGCATCCGTGGGGAGAATCAGTTTTTTAAAGATCCTAATGATTTTAGGCATATGTTGAAAAACTATTCTATTGCTAAGAATCGATCATTTAAGTACATGAACTATGTACTATGTATTATGTACTCTGTTCATTGATGGTTTATCATTTTCAGTCTAATGGTACTATTTTTATTAACACATGGTATTGGATATGAGATAGGATGGTATGCTTGTTGTTGCTTGATGGTTTATCATTTTCAGTATAAAGGTACTGATTTGATTTACGCATGGTATTTATTATCTATGGGATATGATGGTATGTCTTATGTTGGTTGATGGTTTATCATTGTCGGTATAAATGTACTGATTTTATTTACCCATGGTATTATCTATGAGATAGGATGGTATGACTTACTCAATTTATGACCGTTACAAACTAATATAGCCGTTGCTTATTGTCAAAAGTAGTCAAGTCATAATATGAGCATAAATGACACATAGGCTCATTTGTTTCTAATTCATGGCTTCTTCGAGTAGCACCACTCAAATGAGTGGGTTAAAATACAAAAAAGGGAAATGCAAGCGTCTTGATTGTGGGAAGAAAACAATAATCATGGTTTCAAAAACTATTTTGAATCCCGGAAGGTTATTTTACTGTTGCCCACACCATGGCTACTCCCATTGGTGTGAACCATTTGAAGTTGGGAAAACTTTTTCCAACTCCAATCGTGAAGAAAATGAAGCTACAAGTGCGTCGATGAACCAAGTCCATCAAGAAAGTGAAGTGAAGAATTGCAATTCTGAAGGTGGAGTAGTTCATAGTTTGATAGTGTTGAATCTAGTAATATTTGCAGTCTACATGCTATGTAAAACCTATGCACTGTTGTTTAATTAGTGAACATAAGAGTACAATGTATAAGCTGGTAAAGTTAGGGTTATTCGTGAATATAGTACGCTTTGTTCACCAAATAAGTAAATGTATAAGCTGGTAAAGTTCGAGTTATTCGTGAATATAGTACGCTTTGTTCACCAAATAAGTACAATGTATAAGCTGGTAAAGTCCGGGTTATTCGTGAATATAGTACGCTTTGTTCATCAAGTAAGTACAATGAATACACATGTGAAGTACAAGTGATTCGTGACTATAGTACGCTTTGTTCACCAACTAAGTACAATGTATAAGCTGATAAAGTTTGGGTTATTCGTCAATATAGTACGCTTTGTTCATCAAGTAAGTACAATGAATACACATGTGAAGTACAAGTGATTCGTGACTATAGTACGCTTTGTTCACTGATAAAGTATATGTTTGCCATTCATATAGTATTGTTACACTCTATATATTATTGTGGGGCCAATGCATCCATATGATCGCATTTTAAGACAAAACTCTTCATTTTAAGACTATTAAGAATGAATGGAGACAATGTGGGAGTCGATCAATATCGATTATGGTAAGTTTTTCGTGAATACACATGTGAAGTACGCTTTGTTCATCAAGTAAGTACAAGTCTAGTGTTGACAAGGTATCTTCGAATAGACTAGAAAGTATTTGTTGCTCATTTTTATGGTACGCTTATATTCTTTATACAAACTAATTAATCGCAAAATAAAGTACCATGTGTTCAAAAGGTAAGTACATTTCATTGAAACATATAGTACAATGTATACAATGGAAAAGTACGAGTAGAGCTAATCAAATGTATTATTAGCTCTACAACAAAATGACAGATTGTTTATGACACAAAAACACATTCATATGTTCATTAATTACAAAAAGACACAAAAACCCCAAAACACTTCCACTCCCAGTTTTTTTACAATAACGCTACATCTCTTTCATCTTTAGCTTCCAATTCCTGCAATTACATACACATAAAACTACAATTATAACAAATACAACGTACTATAAAGTTCCACTACTAGTACTTCCAGTAATTTCGTTCAGTACCATCCAAATGCACTAGCAATACCATTGTTGCATATATATGACACATACTACATTACAATCAAACATTATACTTCCAGTACCCTTTGTCGATACTATTCGAATGCACTAGCAATACCATTGTTGCATATGACACATACTACATTACAATCAAACATTATACTTCCAGTACCCTTTGTCGATACTATTCGAATGCACGAGCAATACCATTCAATGGCACTAGCAATACTATTGTGGCATATGACATATACTACAGGACCATCAAACATTATACTTCTAGTAACATATGTCAATACCATCCAAAGTCACTAGCAATACCATTCAAAGGCACTAGTAATACTATTGTGGCATATGACACATACTACAAAATCATCAAACTTATACTTCCAGTATCATGTGTCAATACCATCCAAAGTCACTAGCAATGCCATTCAAAGGCACTAGCAATACTATTGTGGCATATGACACATACTACAAAATCATCAAACTTATACTTCCAGTATCATGTGTCAATACCATCCAAAGTCACTAGCAATGCCATTCTTATATGACATATACATTTGTTAGGACTAAATGCTTTCGGGACAGTACTTCGAGTACCCTGTGTTAATACCATCTAAATGCACTATTAATATCATTACTGCGCATGACACATACTATACAACCAGTACGAAAAATACAATAAGCCTCTTTCTCATATCCTATATGAAACCCTTGTTAGGACTCAAAATGCTTTGGGGACATGCTAAAGTCAACTAAGAATAATACCCATGAGAAAACTGTTACAAAATCATGAAATTCGACAACAAATAAATGATCTTTGCAAACCCAAACAACAGAACAACAGATATTGGAACCGATTTAATGATTAGGGGAAACCGAATAAAGTCGAGGCTAAATACCCATGAGTTGATATGTTCAAAATCATGCAATTCTACAACAAATAAACCTTTTTGCAAGCTTAAGCAACACCCAAATGGGTCCGTTTAAAAAAAAATGAAAAAATAAAATAAAAAATCAAACATTGTTACCCTGCTTCACCATTGTCTAGAAATGGGTTTGTTTATTTTTATTTTTCCTTTCGCTTTATTATTTTTCTGCGTTTTGTTGATTCTTCGTGCTTCGTTGTTTCTTCCTTCTTTGTTGTTTCTTTGTTCTTCGTTTTTTCTCTGTTTCTTCTCTGTTTCTATGTCTGAAAATGGGTATAAACTGAAGGGTGGTTTTTTTCTCCGCCTTTTTAGCTTCTTTCTTGTTGTTTAATTTTTGAAATGTAACTGGCAAAGAGCGAGTAACACAAACGGCGCGTTGGAAGTTGAAAAGAAGTTATGTAAAATTAGTATAAAGTAAAGGGTATTTTAGTATTTGAACATTTTGTTAGCGACTGATCTGCATGTTAGGCGCGTGAGTAGGGACTGATTTGCTTGGAGAAACTACCTAGGAACTGATCTGTGTTTTGAGTTTTGGATTAGGGATTTATTTGTAGTTTCCCCAAAATCAAATCAAAAGGAACAAAAATCCTTAAACTATTTGTTATCAAGTTATTTAAAAAAAATATATTTTCTTCTTACGTTTTCTACCAAATATTTTTACTAATAACAATCCAAGATCCATCAGTCGAATAATTTAGTGAGAATTTTTTTTTATTTTGTAAGAAATTATAGTTTCTTTTTAGTAATTCATTGTGATTATTTTTCTCTTTTTGCATTTTGTACGCTTTTTTTTTTATTCTTTTTGCATCCCGGAAATAAAAAAATATAAATCAAAAATTGAATTTACGCTCATTTAGTTCCAATATTTCATCCAGGTGTTGTATTTCAAGAGTGCATAGTGCTATTAATATTTTTCAAGGATTCAAAATGCCAAAATACTACATTTCAAGAGTGCAAAGCGGGATTAAGGCAAAATTTCGAAATATATATGACTGACTCGTCTGTACCTTGCAGATCAAAGTGCCGAAGAGGGCAAAACATACATTATTTTACCAAAATAAAATAATATAATACCAGAAAGAAAGCAAAAAAAAAGTTCGTACATGTACATGCTATAATAAATCTAAATCAAAATCAAAATCAGAGGTTGGGATGAATCTGTTTCTATTTCCCTACCGGTTCGGTGCGCCATGTCGAGCAGAAAAATCTCACTAAATCACGTCTTTAAAAACGGAAAAGCTGAATCAGCTTGATGCTCGTTTTTCTTGGGATATTGAACTTCAAGTAATAACCAGCTCGAATCCAGACCACTTCCACACGGGGATTCGAACAGACAAATCCAAGGTTCAATAAATATCCCAACATTAAACGGGCCCTCAACAGTTTCCTCCTATATATACACAAGACGAAAAAAGGTTACCTATCTATCTCAAACGAGACACCCTCTTCCTCTTCCTACTCTTTTTAGGCGCCGAAGAATTATTTCTATTATTCTTCGTTCTAGACGGAGAAGTAATAACGCTCGATAACTGCCTTCCACACGTTGTTCTGTGTTTCTTCGCAACCCATTTCAAAGGCATATCTTTCACAACAAGGCCGATATCATCGCACTTATTCAACCGAACGAGCTTCTCAACTTGGTCAAGCATTTGATGAGTCCACGCCATCGAGATATCCAACCCCACCGAATCATCCACCGGTTTCTTCCAAAGATCCATCAGAATATTCTTCAGCGACTGAAACGACATTGAAGATTTGTGCGAGTCAAGATTATCGCACGTCATGTTAACCTTAATAACATGCTTGCATAGGTTCCCCTGCAAAGACCACTCGCAATCGCAGTGCGCGAATTCCGAACCAGGATTCCAAACCACCCGACTTAGACATCTGTCTTTCTGACTGACGACCCTAGCGAAGAGTGGGTCCCGGTTGAACGAAACGGAATCTTCCGGGATTTGAAGGGCTCGGTGCCAAGAAGTGGAGGCAATGTACTCTTCCTTCACGTTTAGAAACGAATCGCTTTCGTCTGCGTATCGGTCGAGCCAGTAGCTTGAGTGCAGCTCGGTGGTCAACTTGTGTACTAACCAGTCAACCCTTTGGAGAGAACCGAGATGTGAGTCGTCGTATAGTTTCGTTTTGAGCTTCACGTGATAGGCTTCGATTGCTCCAGAAGATTCTTGGCTTGCGAGTGGGAGAGTCCTCATTGACGTTAGCCACATTTCTGCACCATGCAAGAATTTAAATCAGAAATAGAACGGAATTCCTCCGAGTAAGGAACAATATTTTCTCATTCCAGATACCGATTTTTCTGATATTTTTCTTGGAGCGGAATTTGAATATATATGATAGATTCCAATTTTCGATTTGAATTTTAATTTCTGAAGATTCAGAATTTCATTTTTTTGAAAACTACACTTATGATATCAATATTATTATATATTTTATATTATAGGGGACTAAAAAATGGAGAAATCCCAAACTCCGCTGGTTCCAATCCAAAAATTTCCGATTTTGTAACAAGCTTTTTTCATTCCAATTTCCGATTTTCTTTAACGGAATTGGAATACATATTCCGATCCGATTTTAATTCCTGAAAAACACTTCAAATATCAATACTATTATATATTTTATATATGTGACTAAAAATATGGAATTTCCGAATTCCGCCGATTCCGATCGATTATTTCCGATTTTGCAACAAGCTTTTCATTCCGATTTCAAAAAATAGTTTCTCCACTTCCGAAAAATATTTGAAACTTTTACGAAAGTGATAATTCCTATCCGATCTGATTTCCACCCCAATTACAATTATATAAAAAAATGAAGGCAAATACAGTAACAGAAAAGAATCATCTCACCAATTTTAGGCACCCAAGAATCCATGAAGTATTGCATAAACGAAGTCTGGTCAACAAAATCGAGCGAAAGTTCTTCAAGAGAAACAGCAAGATCCGCCCCACCCCAGATATTGTACACTATTTGGCCGAGGCGTTTAAACATCTCCCTCTGAACTTCGACATTAGTGCATTTCTTAACAATGTGTCTTAGCCACGATCTACGAACACGCCAAAGGGAAAACAGTACAGGGCAAGAGAATATCTCCCTAAAAAAAAATAAGCCAAAAACACAAATCAACGAGCTGTAAAAGCGCCGAATAAAAAAGGGGGATTAAGGAAAAAAAAAACATATTTCTACCTGATGGGCTCGATCTCAGCCGCAGCATCATCAATTAAAAACCCATTGGCTTTCCATCCAGGGTCAACCGAGTGAACTCGGTCGAGTAAGGATTTCATCCATTTAGCAACATCTGCCTTTGCAACACTACGTGTAATAATCCAAGCAACCGGGAGGGCATGTTGTCTCGAGTCAAATACAAGAAGTGTGCACAACGGGTACTGCATTTGTACCAAAATTATAACTTTTATCGGCATTATACACACACAAAAAAAAAAGGAAAAAAGAAAATCATGGGTTTTTTTTTTTTTTGTACCTTTAGTTTCTTGATCCCAAAAGTTGAATCAACTGCCACGACACTACGATGGCCAAAACGGGTCATCTGCTGCAACTGCCACTCAGTTTGTACACCCAAAATAAAAGGCTCACTTTCCGAGGAATCCCGATAAAAGAAAATCGACTTCTTGTTTCTCTCAACCCATAACCGAACGCTCGCTTGATCATCCAAATCCAACTCATGAGTGGACCGTTTAATTATCATACCGAGCTTCTGCACATACTGACAAGCCAAGCTTTTAACTTTCGCATCGGACCCACCGTACCTTTCGATCCCTTCGATGTGTTTTTCTAGAACATTCTCCTCGGGAATACCTAGATATATCATCGACATTGTTTGCTGTTGTACCTCACTGCAAACGTACGGAATATTCTTGGCACCGGGTCCTATTGCGTCTTTATCTAAGGGCCCGTGACAAATAAAACCGGATTTATTAACGTGGCGCCTATCGTTGTATATGAGAAGTGCAAGAGAAGGGCGTGCGTACAAACGCTTTACGACAAAATGGCATGTGCATCCACGCATTGATTGAGGTATAGCTGCACGATTACGCGTGTTTAGACGGTACCTTCTGCTCGGTAATATGCCTCCGCCCTCTCCGTAATTTTCGGGACCAAACGAACACCAATACCTTCATGAGAGTTTATTTGCAATATCAGTCTTTTTTTTCTTTCTATTTTCATCCATTGCAAAGGGACGGAAAGTATATTCAGAAGCTGCAGCAGAACTAAGGCCTCGTTTGGTTGCCAAGATAGGATTAAATGATCTAATGAAACCATAGAAGGTCCAATAAAAAAAAAATCCCTAGGGCCCGTTTGGTTGACAAGATAAGATTAAATAATCTAATGAGACCCAATTATTTTATTGGAGCTTGAAACGTTCAACAAATAAAACTCACTAGAAGGCAAGATAAGCCATGATTATATAATTTTGGCGGGTCGACCCGGCAATTTATTGGGGATACCAAACATCAAATTAAGTCCAACTATTTTGATAATCATGGCTTATCTTGGCAACCAAACGGGGCCCTAAAAGACAAGATAATCCATGATAACATGATATTTTCGGGTCAACCTGAGAAGTTATTCGGTACACAAAACATCAAACAAAGTCCAATTATTAATTATTCACGGCTAGTCTTCCCAACCAAACGAGGCCTAAGTGCGTGTGGCACTGGTAATAGCATAACTTTAATTAAGATATTTCAAAATTGAAGCAGATGGAAAAATAATACAACACATCGAATGAAAGTAAGACAAAAAATCAAGCGTTGAAACGATTATTCTGTAACGAACCGATATAGTTGACTAGAGAGGGTAAACAAAAATAGAAATACGGGATTCACTACTTACATCCTGTACTCCAAATACTCGTCGTTTTTGTACTGCTTCAAGCTTCCCCTGGCTCGTTTTCTTCCCCTCTCGATGTGGAACCTAGTCGGGCATTCGACACAGGAACACTCTCCTATTATAAAGGCATCAACTCGATCGTAAGGAATAAGCGCCACATCATCGCATCGCTCGGCGGTTCCAAACTTGACCCACTCCAAATCGGCTGAAGAGAAATCTTCACCGGGCGGATCCTGCACTTGCAGATTATCAATGGATTCGATTATTTCCATCTGCTTCGATTTTTTAAACCTCTTAATTGAAGCTTATGCTATTTACAACAGAGCATACCTGCAAAAAAAATTGACGAATTAAATAAGCAAGAACAAGTCTACATTTACATAAGCTTCATCATATCACAACCAACTTATTTATTTCTCTTAACGCACATCAATTATTATAAAAAAAAATACACAAAACACCAATTTGTGTATTTATACACAAATTCAATAACAGAAACAACATAAAAATATACAGCAACAAAAATAAAGCATGTTTTACACAAAATTCGAATCAACAATAAATTGTGAATGGGTTTTTTATCTGGAGAAATGACAGAGAACTTACAGCTCGACACCATGGTAAACACGTGCTCAAAACAGTAGAGAGAGAAAGAAGAGGGGTTTTGAGGGGCTGAGATTTCTTGACGAAGCAGCAATCTATTTTGTTCAAATTTTACTCATGAAATGTTTAGCCCTAATTTCCCCTTTTAGTACTCTGAGGAATATAAAATAGGAACAAATGCAAATTTGTCCCCAATATTTCTGAAAATGCAAATGAAAATTAAAATCCAAGTCAATAAATTAGTCTAACAATGTAGAGGTGGAAATCGGAATTGAATTTTCGAATTCTGCCAATTTCAAATCGAAAATATTCGAATTTGAAACCGTATATTTCAATTTCAGAAGTTCCGATTTCCAAATTTATCCTAATTTATTTGGAATGGAATCAGATTTGTATATAAAATTATTGAAAATTCCGATGTCCGATCCCATTTTAGTTTTCGAGTGTTTCGATTGATTTTCGAAATATATAATATAATTTTATGATATATTTTGTAATCCAATAATATAGCTTATGTTATATTATATATGAAAAATATGAATATTGAAGGGCCATGTAAATTATAACCTTATAAAAGATTAATTTGTACCAGAAATTCGCCTTATATGAAAAATATGAATACCGAAGGGTCAAGTAAATTATATCCTTAGAAATTCTCAAAAAAAAAAATATATATATATATCCTTAGAAAAGATTAATTCATACCAGTTTCATTTTTCCTTATAAAAAAACTTTGTTTCAATTATAGTTCCTACATTTGTCCCTTTTTTTTTTTAATTTTTGCATTTTCCTGCAAAAAATTGAAAAAAAAAAAATAGAATTATATTGTGAAGTCCCGTTATATAAGAATTTGGAACAAGAAATTATAAACTAATTTAATTTCCGAAAATTTCCTAAATTCTGCTGATTCCTAGGCGTTCCGAAATAGGAACGAATTTTTGCATTTCGAAAATTTTTGGAACGGAAATTAGAACCCATTTTTTACTTCCATAAAAAATGAAAATTTTCCAAAAAATTCATTTCAATCCATTCCGTCCGATTTCCACCCCTACTAAAAAGTAGGACCGGCAATTGAGTCGGGCCTACCGAAGCTTCGGCTCGATTATATTTGAGTCGAACCTACTTTTTAGTGAGCTGAGCCGAGTTTGAGCCATTTTACTGAAGCCGATTTATTTATAAGTCGAGTTTGAGCCTACCATGGTTTAGCCCGCATAAGGCCCGACCGATTAGGTTAATAATAAAATATATAATATATTTATTATTTTAATATTATGACTCAACATACAAGTTAAAACCATAAAAGATTATTTTATTTTGCATAAATAAAAGGAATTAAGTGGTGGCGGTGGCAATAAGTAAAATATGAATCAAATACAAAATACCAATCGAAATTTAATTGCTGAAATTTATCAACGATATTTGAGAATATAAAACATCTTATATATAAAAGAAAGAAACGCTGGGTAACTCTAAAAAAACTCTAATGGTATTTCTGTAATTATTTATTTTTAATATTTTTTTTCTACTAATTTCTAACTATAATTTGTAACAATTATCAAAATTGAAACTAAACCGTGAAGATACCTACCCTAATAGTACTTCTGTAATTATTTATTTCTAATATTTTTTGTCTACTAATTGTCTAACAATAATTTCCAACAATTATCAATCTCCTATTTTTCATCAATATATCTCAAATCTTTAGAGATAAAGATAGAAATTCGATTTATTAAATCTTAATGTATTTATTTGGTTTATAAATCTTAATATGTAAGATTTAAAAAAAACTAATACTTACATAAAATAGGAATAATACTTCATTAAATTTTACTATTTTATATGAAATAGGAATAATAGTACATTATTAAATTTTACTATGTTAGTGGACCTTATTACTTGCAAAGATTGTTTAGGGTTTTTTGGGTTGGATTCAATGGGTAAATTTTATTTATCACACGTTTTTATAAATTTTTTTACTCATTACATTTATATAGTAATGGGCCCGATATACTAATGAGGCCTGATGGTATATAAATTTGAGGTACAGTAACAAAGTTCGATAATATATGATATGATCATGAGTCGACCCAAACTCGAGTCACATAACCCGATTGCCAACCATACTAAAAAGTTATGCAAAAAGCAGTTCAATTCCGTTCCAGTTTAAATTGATTTGTGTTGCAAAATGCGTCCTATTTAATGAACTTTGACTGAATTGGTTACTACTATACCCTCAATTACCCTAAACATGTGAT